TCGAGCAGGTGGGTGTACAAAGAACAAAGGTGGACTTCCCAGTCCCATGCTTTTCAAAAAAAAAAAAAAATCTATATAATTGGGGAAAAAAGCAGTGTATATTACCGCAAATCTCTGTACTATGCAGTCTAATTGATGAATGAAAAACTGTTGGATACCTTCACTTGTTTTACCCTCTTTGGATGTGTGGTGTCTGAGCACAAAATGTACACGTAGGCTGCTGATGGATGTAAAATTTATCCTCCTACGAAATGCTGCCAAAAATAGAAAGCCTGCAGTAACACGCAGCTCTGGAAGTTTAAAATAATCTATTTCATGTGCATAGCATGCTTACATTTCTGATGGAAGTGTAAATAATCTTTAAACCTTCATGTTGACTTAATTAAATTCTATTCATTAAGAAAAAACATAATACCTTTTCTAGAGCTTAAAAAAAAAAAAAAATCCCATCTGTTGATGCATGTTTTCTGGACAGCAGTGCCGCTAGGAAGGCAGAGCCCGTTTGTTGCCACACCACCGCAGCAGAGATGCCACGGATTCCATGCACAGAGGAAATATTCACAAATGCCAGGTATGATATGGTAGTCACTATTGCTTGACATTGCCTTTTCAGTGATACTGTCCGTACTGAAGGCTGTCTGTGTGTTCAAGCTCATGCAACTTAAAACAATTATACCTACTGCACAGAGAAAATAATAAATATCAGTGTTGCTTGTCTAAACCAGAAATCTTACCTGTGCATCTAAGTTTTTGCGGGAGGAGGCAGGTGTGTTGGCATAGGAGCTGATAGAGGAGCTAGTGTTAATGTCATCAGTACTGAGATTATCTATGGTGTCACTGATCCCACTGCTGACAGAGCTGCTGTCATCCCAGCTGGAGAAAAAGCACAACAAAGGTAGAAAACAAGGGTCAAAAGACGAAACATCATTCAAAAGGAAAAGTATTATTTCTACAAGCCTTATCCTACTTGCGGTTGCCAAATGAAAACGGTACACTCGTTTTCCTAACTTACCTTCATTGTACCTCAAGTCTAAATTCATACAGCTCATTGACTATATGGTTGCCACAAAGCCTAACGTATACCATCGGTAAGCCAATAGCACCGATGACGCAATTCTTCCTGACTCAATTGAAAGATTGTATGAGTAAATAAACTTTCACGTGACTCCTGAAATTTATGCCTGCGGTCCCAGAGCAGGGGAAGGTGGTGGTAAGAAGGCATCTCCAGGTAGGCGTAGCATTGACTTGCTAAGCCGTAACGCACAGATGGAACTTAAATGCAAGGAAGAAAAATCATCCTGAAGCAACCTTTTGTACCTGGTCGTTACATAGACCTGGGAAACAACCTGCATCTACCATCGACAGCATCACTGGTCTCAGAAATTTTCAGTAATTTAAAGTCTAGTTGTTCAGATGGCACATACCCCTCCCGAGCCGTACAACACATCCTTGTCAAGGAGTCATATTAACAGCTTACTATTCGGGACTACCTTCTTCCATCGTATGATGGCTTCAACATTTTCTAGTAAATGAGAAACGCATAACTGGAAGCTTAGGACACAGAAAGCACCAACGAGAAATGTCCATGCCTGAAGCGATTTGAGTGTTAGAACAGACAGAATCCAAATGATCTAAAAGTCAAGCCGGACGCTCCACTCCTAAAATGCCCTTAAAAATAAGCTGCTTAAGGAAGAGATTTATAAACCGGCTTACAAGTGCTCCACCTCCAAGAACAATAAAGCTGGGATTGAAACAGTGTCCTGTAAGTAAGAAGACATTTCAGTCCACTGATGCATAACTACTGCTGGAAATGCATAAATACATATTTCATAGATCACTTGCAAAATCTAGTGGTAAGAGCTCACCTCCTGGCAGTTCTCCAGCTATTCATCACCACAGCCTTGGATTTTGGGAGCTCCAGACTCTCTTCCCTATTGCGTTTCTGTTTGCTTTACATTGATAATGTAAAGTTACACAACAGTGTAACGAAGAGATTGCAGCGAGTTTTTTTAACCGTAGAGTGGAAGTCATTCACAAATTGATATACTGGATATTTAATGTATGCATTTAAAATTGAATTGCGTGTTATGTAATTGAACTATGTAAACTAAGGCAATCTGTGTCTGCTTTCTTGACTTTTATTCATAGCTTCACCACCGACTTACTATATAGCCACTAGATAACCTTTAGCAACTTTGAAATGAAAAGCATTTCATTTTTCTCACTCAGTGTTACCAAACAGCTACCCGTATGGGTTTTAACGATGTTTTAATAATTTTGAATTGCTTTTTGCTTACTTGGGAATATTGTGTTCACCCATATCTACGCTTTAATAATTTTGAATTGCTTTTTGCTTAGTTGGGAATATTGTGTTCACCCATATCTACGTAAGGCCTTTCAGGGAATTGAGGACAGCTTAACCAGCAGCACAGTTTGCTGAACCACGTGAACAGCAGTGCCCACGGGGACGCGCTCCTCTGCGTGCCTGCAGAAAGGGTTATTGCTCGCAGCTGCTCTTTGCTACTGTTTTGTTCCCAGTTACAGTCCTCATCAATCTGCCAGCACAGTCATTTGTGCCAGTTCTCCCCGTATCACTGCAGACAAGGCCAGCTGGGAAGCTCAGATCAACAGTTTCAGCAAGCCGGATTGATTTTGCTGTCAGGAAATTTGGGAGTGCTCAGCCACGCTGCTCTGCTGGCAGAGGACAGGATGGGGAGAGACAGGGATGGACAGGGACAGACACCGGGACCAACCGCTGACCCCTGCTGCAGGCTCCGTTTCATGGAGCCTTGAGGTGGCCCTTCATTTGGTGTCCTCCAACTTACAAAAACACACTCCTGCCAGTTCTGATTGACTTCCAGGAGTGTCCCAGTTACAGGCAAGGCCCTGGCTTTGCAGAAAAATTTTCCAAACACTATTTGATAAATTCTCGAACACTCCAGCTCTCCTGATTGGAAAGAAACGCTGTAGTCTACAGTGTTGGTGATGCTACAATTTAAAGGAAAGATATCTTTTTTTTCCCCTAGATTTGCCTTCACCTGGATATTTTTAAAGAGGAATCTGCTGAAATACAAAATAGAAGCACATGTTAAAATAAAACTCCATACACAATGTGAAACCCGTTGAGTCTGAGAAAGCCAGCCAGCCAGATTTGACACAATAGTTTTATTTGCTATTTTCCAAAATCTTCCTCAGCATAACTGAATGAAAGAAATGCTCCCCAGTGCCTAGTATGGAAAAATTGAAAACTTGGAAAAGAATCGAAAGACTTCTTTGAAGCACCTTTTTTTCGGAGTAGGCAATCAAATATTATAATGCAAAATATTGAAAGTTATATTACTTCTAAATTTCAGTTTTTAAAAACAGGCCCTATAACTGATATTTACTTCTATTTCAAAACCTGTACCATAAAGCAATTACAATTCCTAGATTTTATAAGTCTATAAATAAGGTTACCAAAGAGTTATTAATATAACTGCATAAAAGAATATGCTCCTCGTTTTCCAAAGTTGTGTGTAGCAACTATCATCTTCTTTTCTATTTCTGAACCTATAATAAAATCCTAATAAGATCAGAAGTGCCAGTGTTTTCCATGTTTAACAGTTTAACTTCCTTCTTGCGGAGACATGACAATGCCCCCCCCCCAAATACAACAACGTTGTTCTGTGGGACTCATGGTTCCACCTTGAATGTACAGAAACATTACCCTTCCAACCATTCGCCATTCCTAAAACTATCACAGGCGCCAGTTCATCAGCATCTAAAGAATGCGTCTAATGTTAATCATAAGTAGTTTTACTGGCATCAACCAGTCCTGTTGACTTCAGCTGGGCAATCTAAGGCATTATGGAAATATTTGAGTGCCCTTCCGAACAGGGACATGTGCCTGAGGACAAAGGTAGAAACATGCACCTGAATACATTGATGGTTGTGGCTTCCCCTTAAGTAAATCCTGGGCTTTAAGTCTTTCATGTTCTGACAGAAACTATGAACAACTCAGACTCTATATTTTCAAGTTTACTAATCTGTTACTAAATTAAAATAGATTAGCTATTCTGAGGTCCAAAGATAGATGTCTAGCATTTTGGCTGCCAGAAGCTAAGCAACACAGCTCTTGTAGGCATGCTGATGACACCAAGCGATGATACTGATGCACACAGCTGTTCTGACAAGGTAAGATGCAGCTAAAACCAGACATCTCAGGTTTAGCTTTATTTAAAAAAATCACTTAAGTACGGGGGTGTGAGGGGTCGGTCTCTAGCTAGAAGAACAACAGGATGTAACAGAACAAGACACAACATCTTAAGAAATTTAAAGTAATTTTTAAAATCTACATAAACAATTATTGATGCTGTCCTTTGGAGTAACACTAGAGCTGGTTTTAATGCAAGCGAGATGCGTGTAGAATCCACTGAACTCTGTAAATTAGATGTCAACACAAGCAACTTTGTGAGCATACAACATATACTGCTAAAAAGTAATGCAATTAAAGCACATATACTGTTTAACCTGCTGTCAATGATCCATTACACTAAAAGCTCTTCCCTCCGAGAAGCCCATCACACCCTATTTGGTGTAATATACAACAGCACAGGACACGCCGCTCCATGTCTGTATCTGCAGGTGAAGACTGCAGCTTCTTGAGAGGACAGCATCTGCTAACAAATTGAGGTATCTCTATTTCACACTGTGCTTGAAACAACCCCAAGCCCTCCACGTAAATTAGTTCACTTTTACCTTGATCCAGTGCCTTGATGGTTAAAGTCAAAAGCAAGGAAGCAGCATGGGGAATCTAACAGCCCTAATTACAGTGTTCTTGGCTCCCAGAGCCAAGATAACATCTTTGTAATTTAGCTGGTGCAATTAATAATTTCTGATGTCAGCGAAAGTCTACTCAACCATAACCTGAAGCTGAAATGTTTGGGCTTTCCTTTCTGTATTTGATCAATCACCTGAAACTTTACTTTGATTACTGAAAATCACAAAAAAGTCTTAAAAGTGTATTATATATGAAAATGGTACAACCACCCTGTTAAAAACCATCACCACCATCACTTAAAAACTCCCACAAAGCTGCCTCCAGCTCTCTATGAAACCAAGCACCCTAAGCACCGTCTTCTCTGTCCCCACCTCAGCCTGCTCGCCCTAATGCGACTAACAACGTTGCTACTATAGATCGCCCACATGCAGCACCAGGTCAACTACTCAAAGCTGCTTTTCGAAACAGGTTTGCAAAGCGGTTAGGCTCAGACTTGTATTTTTCCAGTCTATCAGCACTTTTCCATCTTGCACAATCATCATCCACGGAATTGGCTCTTCTTTGTCAACTTGGACTGCATGGCACACGAAACCATCCTGCAACCCTCAGGACAGCCCCCCTCACTGCAGAAATCTTCCCCCTTTGCAAGTCCAAAGCAAAGGAGCCATTAAAATCCTACTAAATAAAGCTATTGTTAAAGGCTGAAAACGCACCCTTCTCTACGGATGGGTGTGGATTTTAACTTTGCTGGATCTTCAGTCAAAACCAAAATTACAATGAGCTACTGAAAAATACATTTGTCCAAGACAGGGCCTTGGGGCTTTACAATATTTCAAGTGGAAACATGGTAATTATCCTCTTCTACCTAAAAATTTAACTATTTATGAGTTGATAGGAGAACAAAAAAAAAAAAAAGGTCAAGGTGCAAAATGATTGAAACTTCGCAGCATCTTCAAAGAATTAAAAGGAAAGATAAAAAAGCCAGATAAATGTAAATGTGCAATGACACGAGATACTAAATACTGCAGTTTCCACTGCTTTCTTCTGGGATTTCCTACAATACTGCCATCACTGTGTCAGAAATCCAAAAAACATATACAGACCCTTGCATGGT